GGTGGGGGGTCCTTCTGAGGTTGTGGTACCGGGGGGGCGCGTGGAGGCGTTCGCTGGTGCTTGCTAATGTTGAAGAATTACCTAGTCGGCGGTTTCACCAGACAGACAGAGAGGTGCCCAAGAAAACTCAGGGGAGCAACTAGATAGCGCACAGCGCGCCAAGCCGCGCACAAGCCAAAGGCCGCCCACGGGTGTCTTGACACGCGCACGCCGCCATTGCCCCGGTGCACCAGACAAGTCTCGTGATATGGCTAGGACCAACAACAACAACAACAACAACAGCAACAACAACATATGTATCACCTTCAACCGCAAGCTTGGCGCTTTCGATGCCCGCTTCGACACCCTCGAGGGAGCTAACGAGAGAGCACGACGAAACCTCCTCGAAGCTCAACTCCACGTTGGTGAGCAGGGTGTAGATTGAATCCACCCCCGTCTTTTGCGTATTTCCGGACACAAGAGGAAAACAACCAAGAACGTGGGATCGAGAGCGCACGTGGGGGGGGGATACGCAGTTATTATTATGCGTGGAGTAGTGTAGCTTGTGCCATTGGCCACACAGCTCACTCGAGCTACCGTTTCGTACTTACAAGGGAGCGGAGAGGGGGGGAGGTTCGGACTGGATTTCCACCACTCCGTTGAGACCCATTTGTCCCGATACTACAATACTTGTCTTCAAAGGTCAAAACACCCTTGGGTCTACGCCCTTTGACTACACAGAACCGAACGCCATTACCCAACAATGCCCCCCACGAAAAAAAAAAACACTCATTTCTTCCCTCGCTCCGTGCACCACTCTGCCCGCCCCGACTCAAAAAGCGCCACCTATGAATCTATCTAGCTGCTGCTGGGGCGTCATGCCAAACCATTTACTATGGAATTAATCGTCACCTGGGCCTCGCCCATAGCCTGCCCGATGTCCTCCAGTGAGCTCACTAAGTTCACCAGCTGGCCGTCGACAGATCGCACCCCATAGATGGCCGCCGCACCCCTGTCAACGAACGAACGAACGAACGAACGGACGCACAATAAAACAACAGAAGGGTGTGCTCGGTGTACGGGAAAAACGTTTACCGACGAGAAAATTATCGCCCTGGTGGACGGTCCCGGAAAAACCGTCACACTACGTTACCGGCAAACCGTCAAAAACTACCCGTCAGTTTTCTTGTTTCACCCCGTGGTCAAGTAATGATGTCGCCGTCAGAAAACGCGCCACCCACTCAACGTACTTTCGTTAGTATGTGTCTGAGGCTCGTGTCTTCTTATCTTTGTGGGGGTATAGCCCAACATCGACTGTCATCAGTAACTGCTACTGTAGGGTCGTCCTTAGCTCTGCACCTGTCGTTAAGTGGAACTTCTTCGATGTACTCCTACGTCTTTTGGAGCCTGAAAGGCTTACATCGCAGGTCCTTAAAAGAGCGGTCGTGGCGCATTCTGTCTGCAGCAGTCATCTGATTGGGCAAGCGGGCCGGCGTTATTTTTTTTTCATGCCAAAGGAGGTGGACGCAATCCTCTACCAAAAACTAAGTTCTTCAGCGACGGGGGGGGGGGGGGAGAGAGATAAGGGCTGTATCTACCACTACGTTCACACACATTTGGCGAAAAAAAAAGCGACCTAGGGACGTACCCGATGATGGTGACGATCGTGAAGAACACCACCACTCCCAGCGTGCCCGAACCCATGAAGTCGCCTCGCTTACACCTGCCCGACAACATCATCATCATCATCATCATCAACAACAACAACAACAACAACAGCAACAGCACGGTTTCTTCCTTCGTGAGCAGTCAGTCACTCAAGCGAAAAATAACCAGTGGAATGTAAAACAGATTGGGGTAACAGGCGCCACACATGACTCTTGCTCCAAGAAACATAAACAAACAGCAACGTCTCGTAGACTTGTCATGGTGCGTACATACCTCCTTCCGTTGTGTGACCGACTGAAAAATCAGAACATGCACTGTGCAACACCAAAAAAATGAAAACGGCGCCAGAATAAATACATGGGACGAACACGTACGCTACACGCTGCTGCTGGCGTTGCTTGCGGTTCTCATCAAGGTCAGCGCACGGGGGACATGCGACCACCCTTTCATTGCACAACAACCCACACGGGGCACAAGACACGTTTTGTATTTTCTTATTGTTCTGTCGACAAATCGAAAAAAAACGGAACCAAGACCTTTCCTCGTCTCTCGTGGCACGGGAAAAGAACGGCACTTGGGGACCGACGATCGTGTTGCAAACGAGGCGTTTCCATATTCTCACCCCCTCCACCCTGATCTAGGATAGCGAGCCACGGAAAGGAAGGAAAGATTGACAATCGGTGATCGGTCCATTCTCAATGCTCCGTCCTCTCTAAGAGGGGGCGTGGTCAAAAGTCTAACCGTTGAGGCATGGCAAATACAAGTACGCCCCCCCCATCCCCCTCCCTTAAACTCTCGAGGACGCGTGGTCAATGGTGTAACCGCTAACGCATGCAAAACATGAGAGGTTCCCCCCCCCCTTACAATGGACTATGATCGACGGCAGCGAGCGGCGTTGTGGGAACCGTAGACAGTAGACACGCATACATACCTCGCCGGGCAGAAGCAGCCGAAGAACCCCCCACCGTCAAGGTGGTGCTGCTTGCTGCTGGCCGCCACGTGCCCCACCTACCGGCGGTGTGTACAAACAGGGACGGGGAGGAAGAAGCCGGCGGAGGGAAGCGGGAAGAGGAGGACAAGAGTGAGGAAGTGATTATCTTATCTCCATCGATGGCCGACTTATATTCCCAGCGTTGGTCGACCTATCTCCAACGTTGCCGGCATACATCTCCAACATTGGCTGAGTTATGTTACGGCCGAGTTATCTCCCACATTGGAGGTTTATCCGCAACGCTGGAGGTTGCATTAGAGACCAGTTGGCCAGACAAGCGCAACACTTTGGTGGAAAAGCAATAATGTTGGTGCAATAAGCCAAGATACAGAGCAACAAAAGGCGTAATCTTAGGGAAGAAGGTATTTGCTCAGCATACAGTAGTGATTACCCCTTTCTCACCGGGAGACAGCAACACGCCACGATAAAGCCAAAGATGAACACAGGCACCGCGGCGAGGATGATGCCGATCACTTCCGGTCCCATCCGATCAGATCCAACGGGGGCCCCGCACGCGCGCATGGTTTGGGGGGGGGGGAGGTCACAGCACCGACAAACGAGACGAAACACGAAACTTAGATAAAAAATAGCAAATCAGGGTTGGCACAACGCAAACAGCAGCATCGGGAGGAGGGGGGTTCCGCCGCAAATTCCCTCGAAAAACAGGTCACACCCACGGCCAAACGTCCATGCTAATCCATGGCAAAGCCGAACACCCTGCTGTCTGCCACACTCATTTTTTTTTTTTTTTGTCTGCTGGACCCCCCCCCCAATCGCAAAAATAGTTTCATCGCCGGAAACTTTTTATCTCTTTCGACCTTTTGCCCTTCCTCACCGTAGTCACGCTCCGAGAGGTCGAACTCGTTGTCCCCCGACACCCTCACCCAGCCGTGCAGGGCCTCCACCGTGGACGACAGCGTGTAGTCCGGCCTCACGTAGTCGTCCTCCTCCCACTCCCTCACCAGGAAGTCGGGCAGCTGCCCGTCCGCGACCTCCGTGACGGGGTCCGCGACGTCCGCGCAGACCTAGTGATTCGGTGTCACCCCCCGCCCGCCGCCGCCGCCGCCGCCGTCGTCGTTGGGGACAAAAAAAAAAAAAATCAACCACAAAAAAGAAAAGCCAGATAAATTAAATAAACCAGGTACATATGTATTTATGCAGAGGATGGCAAGTCTGGTGATTCGGCGTCACCACCCCCCCCGGCATCATCGTCGCCGTCATTAGGTACAAAAAAATAATCCAACGAAGAGCAAACCACCGGGTATATGCATGCATAGGGTGGCGAGTCGGTGAACCGTTGCTGTCGGGCGATTCAAGCTCCGGGGGTGGGTGGAGCCGTGCATGTGTCGTAGTCGTTAAACCGTTGATCTCGCAACCCTACCCTACAGGAGGAGAAGAATCTTTTCGACGGACCAGGCTATCACATCACCAAGCGCGAAGCATAGTTTGTTATTCGGGGGTCGCATTGGCCGAAGTCAAACAAAAAATCCCCTTCGACTGGGGGTATTATCTCGAAAGGGTACAGCATGCACATAGTCTTTCGTTGACGGCATACATACACTAAAAATTATTGTGTGTCGTCGTGTGTGTTTGTTTGCTACAGCAGCATCTCACCCCATCCGAGGTGGCGACGCAGTACTCCGAACCCCCCTCGTGCGTCCAGCAGAGCGAAGGCTCCCCAGACGCCGAAGACCCGGACCCCCCGCTCTCTCCCTCAGAGGTATGGTCGATCCAGGCCGAGTCCAACCCGGCACTCTGCATAGAACGGCAACAACATTTCCAACGTATTTGCGAGGGATTCCAAGATCCACAGGGTTAACGAGGAGTGGGTGGTGTTTCTGTTGCGCTTTGATGTATGCATATATTTTCTAAAAGGGTTAAAAAGGCTTACGAGGCTTGCAAGATTTACTAGGTTCACAGGAGAAAAAAGAACACGGTTAACAATATTGACGAGGCTTACAAGGTTTACAATATTTACGTACAAGGAAGGGTTATAAGGTTCACAGGGTGTACGACAAGATCGATAAGATTATCAAGGCTTTCGAGATTTACAAGGCTCACAGCAGCATGTACAAGGTTCACAAGATGAGGGTCGAGATGGGGCACGTTTTTGGGATAGGGGGTTAGTCACGACTCAGGGAAAAAGAGTCGAGAAACCGCTGTATGTACGAAAAAAAAAAAAAAAAAATGAGCGATAATTGTAAGCCAGACCGCCGGAGTTACGCAAGAGCGCAGACTGCGGTGCGTTCAACAGCCGGCCTCTTCCTCCCGCTGCCGTGAGATTGGTCGATCGTGGATCGTGGCGTGCATCATGTTGTCACAGGCGGTCTGGAAATCAAGCGGGGTAGGAGAGAGGGGGTACGGATATTGCAGGCCGTGGACGGAAGGGGGGAGACATCGGCGGAAACAGGGGAACACTCGCGCCACCACGAGATAAGGAAAACGGTACCGACAGTTAGTCTGTCTTTGTGTGTGTGTATTTATTTTTCCTCATGAGGAAGAAGATAAGATCGCCACCGAGAGAAGAGCGTCAACGACGGCGGCGACGACAAGCAAAGAAACAAACGGCAAGCCAACCTTCAATTCAACATCGTCGCCGTCGGCGGCAAGCGACAGCAGCTAGTCCCGCCAACGATTCGGCAGCACCAGGAATACAACAACTAACACGCAAAAAAAGAGCAACACAATCACCACCCATCAACACAACACAAACAGCTTTTCATCGCCAACAGCAAGCAACCAACGGCAGTCAGAGCCCCACGAACGAGGACGACGGCGGGAACAGACAAGCCAAACAAATGCATACGCTCTCGTGAAAAGAGGAACGAAATCACCATCAACAACAACCACCCCACAAAACAAAACCAACAACATTGCCAGCAGCAGTCAGTCTCACCAACAAAAGACGGGCGCAAAACGGGACAAAATAACTACAATACCCCACAACCCGAACGGACAAAAATCACCCATCAATCAACAAAAATAACTGCCAACAGCAGCCATACCACAACAACAACAACCACCACCAGCAGACACACGCACCGACAGGATAAAGCTCAGGATGGCGTTCTCGTAGGCCGATCGGGGCGCCCCGAACACGTACCCCACCGACTCGCACGCCTCGTCCGCCTCCGAGAACTCCCCGCTGTAGTCGCTGAACTCTATCTCGCTAGCGCTACTACCGTCGTCATCGCCATCACCGGTGGAGGTAGTGGTGAGCCTCCTTCTCCTGCTGCCGCTGCCGCTGCTGCCGCTGCTGCCGCTACTGCCGGTGTCCACCGCCACGACCGTCCAATCGTACCGCAGGTCTGGATGATGATGATGGTGGTGATGGTGATGGTGACATTTTTCGCGAGTGCGGAGGGTTCGTGGGGGGGGGGGGGGGGGGGGGGA